ATCGCGTCCATATCGCAGGCTTTGCGATTAGGAAATCGCAACGTCTCAAATCGCGATTTTGATTCGATTTCGATTAATCGCACAGCCCTAATACAAACCAGGTGTTTGTTCAGTACAAATATACGATTGAAGGTTAAACGCTTCCGCCCACTTCCAGACATTATGATTTCTGAATGGTTATATGGTTTTTATAAACATCTTAACTGCAAAAGTCTGAAAACTCAAGCATTCTAAAAGATCACACAGAGAAACTGCAGTCTGAGAGTTTACACATGTATAACCTGCTTCATAATCACATGATATGAATGCAAACATGAAAAAATAAAAATACTGATATGAATCTAAGGTATCAATAAAAGACCATGAAATAAAATATTATGAAAATATGATTGCAACAACCCTAGACCAGACAATGTAACAAGTACCATTCACTTCAGACTATACTGATAATTTGTTTGCAGTAAACAAGTGACACATTCAACACTATCCCAGAGTGCAACAGTGCCATTGTGCATAGTGATGACTAGAGTGACTTAACTCGGTGCTGAATTGGCTAGTTTATTTGCTTCTAAAGGTCTAAATACCCTAAAAGTGCATTCAAACTAAATACTGATGAAATGTTAAGAATCTACTTATTTATAATCATCTAAATGCATTGAATAGAACTGAACAGTCCATATGTAATTAGTAAATAGTAAGTGATGTCATCACCATTCCATAAGTCTGATGCATCATTAAAAGAATAGTTCACCAAAAAAAGAAAATTAAGTTATCATTTAACGCAAAAGCCAAGAGAAATTTTAAAAAATGTCCCGCTCACAATCATCCATATAATGACAGTGAATAGCGAGCAACCAGCGTCAAGCTTTTAAATAAGATGCTAAAGCATCACAGAATGGTCCCATGCAACACGTGTCAAGTGTTCTGGAGGTATACAATAGAGTTTGGTGAAAAACAAAACAAAATTTAACGTATCATTTAATGAAAATCCTGACCTTAACCATTGGTTTCTGTGCATGGCTGATCCTTCATGAGACTCTATAGTTCACTCCAACTCACCCAGAAAAAGCAATCAAGTTGTGAGAAATCAAGATTAATAAAAACATAACACAAAATACAATGCAAGCACAATCCATGTACTGTAACAGAGTCTCATGAAGGCACAGCCATGCACAGAAACCAATGCCGAAGGTCAGGATTCTCATTAAAGGGGTCATATGATGCAATTTAAATTTTTCCTTTCTGTTTGAAGTGTTACAAGCTCTTGGTGCATAAAGAAGCGTCTTTCACCGTGGGCGAAGCGGAGTCCAGCCCGGGGTCTTCACATGTGGTTGCCGCAAGCCCGCCGGCCGCTCCTTCGTTGAATCCGCCCGGCCTATTATAATGGGTTTTAATGTTTTTGTCTCGTCGCTCCGGCTGGGACACCAGTACGACACGGCATCACAGATCATTTCATTACACCAAATACACAAAATAATGTTCTTTTTAGCAACATCATATGACCCCTTTAATTAATACATTAAATTTTGGTTTGTTTTCACCAAACTTTTATATCCCCAAAACACTCAGAATAAAAGGCATGTGTCGCATGGGACCATTCTGTGATACTTTTGGGTCGCTATTCATTGATATTTTATGGATGAGTGTGAGAGGGACAATTCTTAAAATTTCTCCTTTTGTGGTCTGAAAAAGAAAGAACACAAGGGTGAGTAGATGAAGATTTATTTTTTCATTTTTGGGTGAACTAGCAATAGCTCATGGACAAAACTTCAGAAAGGATGAAGTTTGTCCATGCATACTTTGAACTGTCTGATCACAGGGAATTTCACTGAATGCCTGTCTGGCCTTCTACCCTTGGGAATCATATTTTGTTTCAAATAAAGCCAAGGTAACACTCATTTTACGTACAGCACACTGTGAAAATGACAGTTGCTATAGAAACAGTCATCGTTCTGAGACGTGCGCTCAGGACTGTGCATGCGCACTGGCTGGTCTAGTCTGAAAAATTTGCTTTTTTAACGCTATTTGAGCAAAAGAAACAACATTTATGACACAGTTCTTGTCAGATTTCATTGGTGATTTCAAATACGAAATTTAATCTTAAACTTGGCGAACAGTTTTGGAGAATTTGATGTTTCCCCATTCAAAGAGATAGGAGCTGCACTTGCATGCCCCAGAGGCATTTCAAAGATGGCCGCCGAGTGACATGACTTGTCTTAAAGGGGTCATATGATGCTTTTTTAAAGATCATTATTTTGTGTATTTGGTGTACAATAGCTCATGGACAAAACTTCAGAAAGGATGAAGTTTGTCCATGCATACTTTGAACTGTCTGATCACAGGGAATTTCACTGAATGCCTGTCTGGCCTTCTACCCTGTTTATTATAATATGTCCCTCATGCTGGCTACCAAAGCTTTTGAAGTGAAATCTGTAAGACCAGTTCAAAGTATCAATTATAAATAATGTCATCTGTCAAATGGAAACTGAAACAAACCCACAATATACAAAAGTGGAAGGAGATCTGGACTTCAGCAAAACAGATAGCCTGAAAGATTTATATAAAGATGAGGAAACTCACCACCCTGGCAGCACGTTCCTGTGATTCACATTTCCTGCAGAACCAGGGGCCTGTGGGGACTTGGACAATTCCATAGCAGGCTGAAACAACAGGAATGAAGGACAGATGAGTTGAAGAGACTTGCTTCCAACTATTGGTCGACCAATATTGTTTTTTTTGACAGCCAATGCTGCTATCTTAGAGAGCAGGGTGGCCGACTCCAAAGAGAAAGGAAAACTTGAAATCGCATCATATGACCCCTTTAAAGGGACTTTGGTTCCGCTCATGTACCGCTCATGCTCACCGAAAAAGCATAGTCCACTCAAACAACGCTCCGGCAGGAAATTTCTATGTAGTATACTTGTTCCTGTTTGCAATAGCGCTACTGTGCTGTAACATGGTGTAGGACTGCTGAACTGGGCAATGCAGGTAAAATGACGCTACTCTCTCGTGACGCAATGCTCTGCTCATAATAACAGCTTTGTAGGATTATACATTATTTGGATAATTAGTAAAAAAAAAACAGTTCTACCAGATTCTGTTGCATAGAACTGAATAAAAGATAATATATTGATATTTAATATTTATATATTTTCTGTTAAATTTTATTGTGTTACTTTCAATAAAAGTGTGGTTATTTTATTGGTTTGTGTTTTTTGATTGTGTCATTAAAATTGAGTTAAATTAAAAAGTCTTACAAAATGACTTTATATTATTTAATAAAATAAATAATTATTACAAAGTATTTTCGGTTTCGGTTTCCGGCCAAGTGCATCCAGAATTTTCGGTTTCGGCACAGAATTTTCATTTCAGTGCATCCCTACTCATAATGGGTATTTTGTCATTTTGGGGTCAACCTGAACAAAGTTCTAAACAGACAACAGTGCGAATGAAAAGTTAAGTGGACCAGAAAGAGAGTCAACTTCACTATCAAGGCCAGGGAAGAGTGCAAAGAGAATATTTTTTGGTCCACTACTTACAAAAGTCTTTGCATGTTTATTCAATTTTACATATTTAATATATCTGAGCTGGAAATATAAAAATAGGGGGAAAAAATATTTTAGTGGGAAAAAATTAATTTCACACCCTGAATAAAATTATTTAGATACATGTAAGAATTCCTATCTTTGCTTTATAGTTATTTTTGTGCAAATGCAAATAAATGTATGTTTCCACTTATCAGAAAAGAACAATGACAGACAACAAACTAAGCAAATGTTTTGATGTCAAGGTCCCAATAGTCAGCCAATACAAAAACATTACAAAAAATATCTTGCACAAGCTTGTCCAAACACCAACATACCATCTGTCTACAAGTCTATAGGTGACAACTTGACCCATTTGTACTGGACCATCTTCTGTGACCTACAAAACAGGTCCTGAAGAACGAAATGACAGCTGACACCAATTCTAGGATATTATGATCCGAACTGTTGATATCCGGTACTCACATAGTGTGAAGGGCAAAATAAATTTGAATCAAAGTTAATCATTGTATGACTGATGAAACATTTCTTATAAGAATTTAACACACCGAAATCATGCCATGACTTCAATGACAGGTTTTATTAATAATCAGATTTCTTCTTTACATCTGAAACAAGATAAAAGTTAACTTTGCATTTGTTTGCTTAATTTTTCTCTTTCACTTGTCTGCACCAATGAGTCTCCTACAAGCACAAACTTCTTGGAACCAAGATACTTATGTATGTGAACTATTTATGTGAATTGTGAACATTTGAAGCATCATACAACCTAAAATAACACAAGACAAATAACTACACGCAGAGAAAACAATCAAGATCCTGTTAAAGGGGTCATATGATGCTATTTCAATTTTTCCTTTCTCTTTGGAGTGTTACAAGCTCTTGGTGCATAAAGAAGATCTGTAAAGTTGCAAAGACTAAAGTCTCAAATCCAAAGAGATATTCTTTATAAAAGTTAGTCAACCACGCCTACCTAAAACGGCTCGTTCTAACACGCCCCACATGTCTACCTCACTATGTGGGAAGATTTACATAACGCCGCCCAAATGTTCACGCAAAAAAAGAAGGCGTAACTTTTATTCTCGCAGTAGTATTGTTGTTGCCGC